ATTTTGTATGCTTGAATGTTCTTCTGTTAAATTTAAACAATTTTCTTGAAATAACCGGGCATTGCTTTTGGCGGGTGCTGTACTGACACAAACTAGTTTATATGTCCTGGTAATTTTGTAGTCGCCCTGAAACAATTTCTGGTTTTAAAGGAATTTAAAGAAGAAAATCCGTTAGTCCTGACCATGATATCTAATCGCAATAGTAGATAATTCTTTGGGGTTATCAAAATAATATCTGTGAATTAATCCGCGTAGTTTTTAGGTAAGTCCGGCCACATAACCTGCACTTGACATCTCTGCCAGAAGTATATCTAAAGAAAGAATGGCATAAAATCTAGTTATTCTATATAAAAGCACAGAGAATTCGCTTTAGTTCTAAGCAAATCAATACATTTAATGTTTATGAAGAATAATGACTCATTATTTTTGTTCCGACAGTCAGATGTCGCCTTTGTTCCCTACGCTTAAATGGCGTCTGACAATTCACAGCGCCTCGCAGTTGGCAATTGTCTTACTAAACACAATTTGACCGATGTTTGTGACCAGATGGTACTGATTTGTGTTGACGGTCTATGAAAAGTATGAGAATGTCACAGACTAGACAACGTTTACAGCATGCACCTGACACATTTCCACAGGGTATGAAGTTATTGGGTCTCGTTTCATTTTTATCTGTTGACAGTCTTTTGTTACTGTGTTTCACATCTAAACTTGAAGAGGCATTTCCTTCGCTGTAGGGAATAACTTAAGCCGACAGGGTTGAACGCATCCAAAGAAGCTAAATCCGTTTGTTACAACCATTTTTCTCCCTTAATATCCATTGCAGTTATGCCAATGTTGAAGATCAAATAGAACAGTTTAATACGAATATGTTTTTTGTGCTGAATCTGTTATTGGCCGTATGGCTATTGGTGTAGAGGAATAAAGGACTTTAGTACTTATGAATATATTCAAGCAAAAGACATATAGACGCACACAGAAAATGATTACCTTCTTATACGTTAATAATATTACTATTTTCTGTTGCAGGTAAGCCATTTTTTTGAGTCGTTTGTTGGACTACATAACACGTCAGCTGTAATCCGAATTGAAATGTAAGTATGTGATTTTGTATGCTTGAATGTTCTTCTGTTAAATTTAAACAATTTTCTTGAAATAACCGGGCATTGCTTTTGGCGGGTGCTGTACTGACACAAACTAGTTTATATGTCCTGGTAATTTTGTAGTCGCCCTGAAACAATTTCTGGTTTTAAAGGAATTTAAAGAAGAAAATCCGTTAGTCCTGACCATGATATCTAATCGCAATAGTAGATAATTCTTTGGGGTTATCAAAATAATATCTGTGAATTAATCCGCGTAGTTTTTAGGTAAGTCCGGCCACATAACCTGCACTTGACATCTCTGCCAGAAGTATATCTAAAGAAAGAATGGCATAAAATCTAGTTATTCTATATAAAAGCACAGAGAATTCGCTTTAGTTCTAAGCAAATCAATACATTTAATGTTTATGAAGAATAATGACTCATTATTTTTGTTCCGACAGTCAGATGTCGCCTTTGTTCCCTACGCTTAAATGGCGTCTGACAATTCACAGCGCCTCGCAGTTGGCAATTGTCTTACTAAACACAATTTGACCGATGTTTGTGACCAGATGGTACTGATTTGTGTTGACGGTCTATGAAAAGTATGAGAATGTCACAGACTAGACAACGTTTACAGCATGCACCTGACACATTTCCACAGGGTATGAAGTTATTGGGTCTCGTTTCATTTTTATCTGTTGACAGTCTTTTGTTACTGTGTTTCACATCTAAACTTGAAGAGGCATTTCCTTCGCTGTAGGGAATAACTTAAGCCGACAGGGTTGAACGCATCCAAAGAAGCTAAATCCGTTTGTTACAACCATTTTTCTCCCTTAATATCCATTGCAGTTATGCCAATGTTGAAGATCAAATAGAACAGTTTAATACGAATATGTTTTTTGTGCTGAATCTGTTATTGGCCGTATGGCTATTGGTGTAGAGGAATAAAGGACTTTAGTACTTAAGCGTCGTTAAATACACTATAAATAAATAAATACGATTAATACTACACGACCGATCTTTCAGAGGCGCTAACTGTGATATTGACCACTATTTGGTCTCTACGAATATTAATTAGGGGCTGTCGGCAAGTGGACTACGTAGCCGATCTAGTCAATCGTCAGGTATGAATCTCTGAGTTCGAGTCCAGGGAGGCTACGGACAGTGAAGCCAACGAGCACAGATGTTCACACGACTTCGGTCGGAGCCTTCATTCTCGGCGTTGTCTTGTAAACGTCCGTGCCAAACCACAAATTCCCGAGATTATCTGAACGGAGAGAGGAAGTAGGAGTTGCCTGCCAGAGGGACGCCGCTGTCCGGAGACACGTGGGGGAGTCAGTATACAAAGCGTGTCCTAGAATGAGATTAGCAAGCAACCCACTAAAGAAGTTTCCAGACTCGTGATTTCGACAACCAGTAGCACAGGACATGCAGATTAATGCAGTTGATACCGACTAATAATATTTAAACTTTGAAGCAGAGAGTTGGTGGTCCCAGTACCATAATTTTCGAACGAGAGACTTCAAGGTGAAAGTCTTTCTACCCGTCAGCTCTGATGTCCCACTGTTCGAGAAAAGTCGATTACTCGCAGGTAGTGCTGTATTAAGATATGTTCCAAATTCGAAATCGGCGCTGAATATCCGGGAATCTTAGCTTCTAGTAAAAACTGGATAAACACGCATAGCTACCGAAATTGGTCGGCTGTAGATCTGGTTGAATTTCTGAAGTTAACCTCGAGGAAGTGATCCCGACACCGAACCTGCGAACAATCAACAGCTTCATCGCCACAGTGAGAGCCAAATGCTGTAGGAAGAGCGAATCTGGACCGTTCGAACGAGCATCGGAGAAGTGTGATGTGCAGATATTTGATCTCAAGTGTTAACGATGGAGACGTTATGGGACAGTGCCATTTTGTATTTGTGTAGCCTCGAAGTCAAATGTCTCCACGAAGACCGACCACCTTGACTGAAACTTTTCTCTGATTTTCTCAGTTATTTAGACAAATAATCTAAGCAGTTCAAAGCATGAATATATTAACCACGAAAAGAATAAATAAATCCGTGCTGGAGTTTAATTGAAGAATAATCTTATTTCAAATACGAGGCGCGTCCTCAAAGTAAGTTTCCCTGGGGCCGTTTACAGAAACAAAACACAATTTCATGGAAATATTTATTGCAACAGATACAGCAAGTGTCCAGCTATTTTTCAACATATTCGCCACCGGAATTGAGACATTTGTCATACCGTGGGACCAACTTTTGAATACCTGTGTCGTAGAAGTCTGCCGCCTGGGATTGGAACCACTGTGTGACCACCATCTCCGCCTCTCTGTCATTCTCAAAACGCTGACGCTGACGCTGACCGGACAGGAATTTCTTGAGGTGTAGGAAAAGATGGAAATCACTGGGAGCGAGGTCCGGGCTGTAGGGTGAATGATTAAACACCTCCCAGCTGAACTCCTGCAGGAGACTTGCTGTCCGTCGAGCCGTGTGCGGCCTAGCGTTATCACTGACCGCACTTCACAGTCGGCGGGAGCTGGAATAAGAACCTCCATCTTCAACAGCTGCAACGATGCTACTGTGAGAACGCGGGAGGTGCCGTTAGTGCATGCGCCATGCTACGTCATTGCTGTATCACGTACGCACAGTCGCTTCGCGCAATATAATGTTTTCTAGCTGTGGGACGAGTGGGAAACTTACTTTGAGGACGCGCCTCGTATATCAGTATTATTCCGTTTCTATTCATGAAAATGCATCCATATTGCTTTAATTTCGAAGACTTTTTTTGCATTAAAACACAAAATAAATCCGTTAAAGACATATCTCGTTTTATTGTGCTTCGCAGATATTGCGTTCTTTTACAAATGGAAGGTTTGTGGCAACCCTGAGTCTAGCAAGTCTATCGGCGCCATTTTCCCAACAGCATGTACTCACTTCGTGTCTCTGTGTCACATTTTGGTAATTCTCGCAATATTTGTTATACATAATGCTATAGCACACTTAATAGACTACAGTATAGTGTAAACATAACTTTTATATGCACTGGGAAACCAACAAATTCGTGTGACTCGCTTTATTGCGGTAGTCTGGAATCGAACCAGCAATATCTCCGAGGTATGACTGTATATAAAAGTTAATACATTTGTTTGAGATATCTCGTACAAAGCATGGAACGTGATAATTTATCACATTTTCTATCGCAGGCAACATTTTCCAGGCCGTTCAATGTAATAGCATGCCACGCTGCTGAAATTCTTTGTCAGTCAATATTGTAGGACGCTTTGTGTGTCCTGGCGCCATTTCAAGGTCGAAAAATGGTGGGGCTGATGTCACGTGTTAGGCCATCGCATTCCTAATGCAGACTGGACTATAACTCGCCCATAGTTTCAGTCCAATAGCTGTAACCCTTCGTGCGAAAAGGAAATAAATATTTCAATAGTCGATTACAGAGCCCCAAATGACTGTCTGTCGGAACTATTTGTAAAACTATATACAAGTACTTTGCCCCAACGAATATGCGTGTTAAAAAATTTTGTGTCAGGTAACATGTCTGAGTCATGCGTGATCATTTTTGTCTCAGTTTTTTGAAATGCGTGTCACGACGTACCGGGGCTCCGTTCGGATTTCTAGGATATTCCGCGAAAAACAAGGTTAGACATCTCCATTTTTTTCATTAGACGTACACTGTACCGAAACAAGCAAACTTTCCTGCTCGCTATAAACTCTATAATATTATTGTTGTTGCTAACCTGGTCGTCACTTATATTTCCCCAACCACTCATCTGTTCTAAACTATTTTTTAGTCTACGTGAGATACTTGATATTTTTATTGAAATGAAATTACGTAAGACTAATGAATTTTCGTCAAGAGTGGGAACACTGCTCTGTGTGTAACCTAACATTAAAGGGGAAAGTCACATACGAAGCGCATATATTTATTTTATTGCTGTATGTAGGGCTTTACGTATTTAGTATGAAAAGCGTTTGAATATACAGAAGGACATCTGAAGTATTTACTTAGCCAGAACGAAATATCCAGGCCTTTGATGTCGAGTTTATTTCTTCACTCCTGTTGCTTAACATATACTGCGTGGTCTTTGAAGAAAATGCGAACTCACAGGGCAGAATATGAACGGAATATGAACATGTTCCAAGTTTTATGTATTCCATGGCCCTCATGTCATGTTTATGTTGGTACAACCAACGACGTCGCTTACACTTGAAAGATACTGTTTTTTAGACGTTATTGTGATAACAAATTGTAACACAAGATTGTTCATGAACGTTTAAAGATAAAAAAGAACTTGGACAAGTAATTTTAGAGCTGTGCTTTGTGCCGAAATTTTCTACGAAATTGCTGTGTTTCAGAAAGTTGGTGAACTTAATTTAAACTTCAGAAAATAATGTTTATTTTATTGGGACCACTGCAAACCAATATGGCGTTCACCTAACGTAGATTTAGTATTAACGTACACAAAAGTCTATTTAAACCGGTTCAGTAATTTTGATATGAAACACGTAGACGAAAAGTCGAACACGGTGTGAGCATTATACATTTATTACAATCATTTTGTGTACAGAACGCATAAATGCACGGAATAAATGTAACTGACGGTATATTCCAAAACGCACGTTGTTTATTTTAGTTGGGAAACTTAGTCTTTTCGATTATATTTATTGAAGCGTAGATTTATCCGAAATATAATATTTTCAAGCGTTAACAGCAACATTGCAGCCACAGCTGCAGTCGTCAGAAGGACCAAAACGGGTGTCACTTGCGTGAGAGAGACGCTCTTGAATTCCAGTCCTGTGATGGGCGTGAGTTTTTTGGTGTTTCTCTTGCTAATGGCGTCGAGAATTCCACTTCGGTGCATGTTATGAACTCTGAAAATTAATTTAGAATTTTTTTTAAAAGATTTGAAGATTTCTCAAAACTACTTTTATTACTACTCTACACAAGGAGTATACACGAGGAGAATTCGGTAATGAATTGCCCCACATAACGCACGTCTGAATTAAAAACAACTTAAATCATAATTAAATTAGGCGAGACTCTAGTACCTAAACGTCAATGTATATTTAAGCGAAAGTTGTCCCGGATACATACAAGCACCATGTCACGAAGAGATATCGGGTAGTAGATTACAGCTACACTGTTTCCTGACATTAGTACCAGATCTTGCTTCGTGCCCCGGCAGGTTAACCCTCGAGGGGAGTCTCCACGGTAAGCACTGGGTAGGAAACTGTATGGTCCCCGTAGCTGGTCTGGACTTAGAGGCTAAAATACATTTCCTTTGCCTCTGTCGACATTAACGACATTAATAAATTGTGACATGTCTTCATGGTGATAAAAGAATTATATGTACGTGATTAAAGAAAACATGTTAGTGCCTTAAATATCTGCACAACCAACTTCAATTTTTTGACGTAAATACGTCTATATTTTAGGGTCAGTATTATTCGGCAAAAATGTGTTACGAAAAAGTGTAACTTCATTGTTATGTTACTTAGGAAACCTCATCTGTTTATTCAGCATTGTTGTTACCTAGGAAACAATATATAAACTTCCTTTCCGTATAGACGTATTTACGTCAAATTCTCCGGAACCGTGGTTCCACTATCACTTTTAGTTCACGTTAACATGCTCTAACATTCTCACTTCCCCTTTCCTCGTCACCCCCTAAAAGATAGGCCTAAATACTATTGAAGTTACGACACATTGTCTAATAGTTCTAAAATTCTAAGAAGTTGAGGACGGGAGGGGGCAGTATTCTGTTAACCTTTTGAGTTCGATTTCAACTTTATCGAAGAAGAAGATGATAAGTGTACGAAAATAAATCACATCGGACAATTCTTAGGGCGTGTCTTCGGCTACATATTTTTATCCTAATGCGTTATAGTGCATTTCGTTTGCTGCTGAAGCGTAAGAATAGAACTCAGAAAAGATGATTTAATTGTATGTGCTGTTTCTAGATAATGTGCAACTCACGTGTGTCTAAATATCCCCAAATAAGGGCTTCTCTTCTTTATAATCATAGATTCTTTAAATTCAACATACGCCTTGGGGACTTCTTCGAGACTGCAGATCAATTTATCTGAATAATACGGCAAAATGTTTTTCAGATCGACTGCAGCGAAGTTGTGACGGGCACAGGCCATGTTCAGTGCCTCCAAGTCTCCCTCGGGGAAGGAAGAGACGTAGGGGGCCATGTGTCTGTCGTACACCGCCCTCAGCACGGGGTCACCAGAAATCTGCAGAGCACACAGTTATTATTATTTAGTGTTCTGTCCGACGACAGGTCCATATGAACAGGATCCTTCCATCCTTTTCTCGGACTGGGACCTGTTAATATACGTTCTTGGCAGATGATCCAGAAGTGGTTTGCCATTGCCTTCTTCTGTGTGTGAATGGAGTAATTGTTGGGATGCCACGGAGAAACCGGGGAAGCCCCCGGAGGAAAACTCCGTGTTGCCTAGACCACGGCCTTGCCCAACACAAGTTATAAATTCGGGCACCGCCAGCACGGCCAGCGTTCTAACCGCTAGACCACCGTGGCTATAGAGCACACAGTACTCTTAGAAAATAAAGTCAAATGAAGAAATGTGTAAATTTCGATGGAATATTGCCGTTAATAGACTTACCTGGAAGTGAGTAAAATGACCCCCGTGACGTCCCACCGCTAGTGTGTAGGTGCCAAGTTCGAGAAATTCCTCAAAGCTGTTGAAAGGAAGTTTCCCTTTGCTTGTCATGATACGGGATAGAACGGACGCAGAGTAGCTGACCACTATGACGAGCGCTGTGAGGTTAGCCGTCAATTGAATCACGCGCCATGACACCTCCACCCGGTCGTCAGTACTTCCTGTCGGGCGTAATTGAAAGTATGTATCAAGTGGAGATCAACAAACGATCTTAATGTTACCGGAAGTTCATTCCCTTTGAAAATTAAAATGCTTGTTATTGTAAACAGCCGCATTAGTTAGCTTCATGGGGCGGAGACACAATTCCGTTTTCCGCCATCTTATTAAACATGAAATAAATTCTGTTATAAATCCCGATGCCAAATATTGCGTGCCTAATGTATAAAGCTGTCAATGTAGAATACAATACATTAGGCGTCTAATTGTAGCTTTTATATTTTATGTTATAACTGGTGTTCTATTTCTGTATTTTTATAATACGTTGCGTTGTGTTTAATAATATATATATGTTACCGGCAAAGTATGAAATCCGGCAATGTATAGACTGCCTAAAGTCAGTAGGTAAAGTGTGAAATTCAGGCATTCTATGGAATGCCCAGGCATTTTATAAAATGCCTAGAACTTTTAGGCGATGTATGAAACTAACCGTTTATTTTCTACTTTGCTTAGGTATTATATAGAATACCTAGGAATTTTATAAAATGCCTCAGATTCTGTAGAAGAAGTGTACAAGAAACGTTTGTATAATACGATTTATACAGTTTTATTTTATCTTTTATATTTGGAAAAACTTAATATAAAAGAATTTTTTAAATTCTCAAAACTTTTGTTAGGTTAGGTTAGATTAGGTTAGGTTAGTATATAAAACATTTTTTTAATTCTCAAAACTTTTGTTAGGTTAGGTTAGTACATAAAATAGTTTTTTAAATTCTCAAAACTTTTGTTAGGTTAGGTTAGTAAATAAAACATTTCTTTTAAATTCTCGAAACCTTTGTTAGGTTAGGTTAGTATATAAAACAATTTTTTTAATTCTCAAAGCTTTTGTTATGTTCAGATTCAGTAGCTTAGCGTTTTCGTGACTATCTTGCACAACCTCCATCTTGACAGCTTACCCATTCGACTTTGATTCATTTTAATTTACACAACCAAACAATATTAACATTAAGATTTACTTCATACTTTTCCTACTGACTGTAGGTATTTTATACACTGCCGGATTTCATACATTGCCGGTAACATATATAATCTTAAATTATGTTAAGCTGTCCTACATGCCGACGCGAAGCAACATTGATTTTACATTCTCTTAGTTTACATTCAGAGCAGTCTCCTGCCTCGCCTTGCAATGTTCTGCGATCTTCTTTGTAGAATTACCACGGTCCAGAACACCGAGAGATTCAGAGCCGTTTTGCGGGATCAAGGGATTTATGGCGACTGTGCTTATTCGCCCGCAGTTGTAGTAGAATTGTCCCTAAGACGGTCGGTGAGGAGCCTCTGCAGTCTTAATTAAATCAGGAGTAAGGTATTCTGGAGGCCACATTTCAATTCATATCCCGTATGAGAAATGCACCTTGCCAGCAGAAAGGCTTGAGTACGGAGAACAGTGCTCGAGGGAATTCCAGCAGAAGACCTTCCTCCTCCTGTCTGCGACGATGGGGCGACGCCCGGTCCAGCAGAAGCGAAGCAGCGGAAAGCAAGAACAGGCTGGCACTCAGGGTCACCCAGACGTCGAGGCTGAAGGGCGCGAGAAAACTCATCCACACCAGATCCGTGGAATCGGCTTTCCGCACGTATATCACCATTCTGAAACACGAACACGTGCGATACGTCCTTAAAAAGTTATCATAAAGGAATATGTGTGAATTTATGTCTGTTTGCAAGTATGAATACATACATGTATAAATAATGAACGTGTGTAGGTATGCTTTCATGTGCGGGTGTGTACGTGTCTGATTTGTTAGCAAGTTTGTTGTGTTTATTTGTTTGTTTGTGTTTGCGTTCAGATGTAAAATAAGTAAGTTTTGTTTTTACCTGTCAACTGACATCGGGTCCAGATAATCCACAGCTCGCATCCGAGGTGCGTTGTACATGAAGGCCGCATTGCTCACGTGCACGCCGCCCCCCACGACCATGCCCACCACCCCGTTCCAAGATCCGTTGTCAAGTTTTACACCGAAACTGTCGTCTTTCGGGGTGTAGTAATCTGCCCTTAAACGAGACAAAATGCTCTTTTGGGACTTAAGGTTTTAATTTGTTTTTGGCGGTGAAAATCCGTACAATGACAAGAGAATTAGAATAAAATGTTAGTATATCAGATAATAAATTTTATCAGGCAGTAAAAATTGATACCAAATGCTCACCGTGTTTGCCAAAATTTCACTCATTGACGTATGACATTTTGTTGTTAGTGCATAACACGGTGGTAAAACCCAAATTTGAAATGTTTCACATTGTTTCCCAGGTGTAAAAATAATCTGACGTTCTGTGGTTCATCGTAATGAATATTTTCGGGCAGTCTGCAATTGAAATTTCCTTTCCCGTGGCTCTCAACGGTTATAATTCCAGCATTGACTTTGAGTGCTACCAAGTTTAGAATCTCAATAGCTTCTTCATTGGACAATAGTTACATGAATGTACAGATCTAAGGCAAATCTATTACACATTTTTAGTTAGAGGTAACTGTTGTCTAGGAACACTGAAAGCCAGAAAGGAACAGACCACTTGGAGGACCTAGGTGAAGATGAGATCAGAAATTTAAAATCGATTTTTATATATAAAATTTGAAGATGAGGACAGGATTCAACTGGCTTAGGATAGAGGTCAAATGTAACATCCAGCTCCACAGAAGGCGGAGGAATTCTTTTCCAGCTGAGAGACTCTTAGCTCCTCAAGACGAATTCTTGTTCATGGATTTAGATATTGTGAGCAGGCAAAATCAGCATGACGAGATGTTAACAGGGAGCTTAAGCGTTTGATGGATTTTAAATAAACTGATATCATCGGAACCTACGTGTATTATTAAGCAAGAAGAATAAATAGAATAGGGAGATGGTATCTATTCTTCGTAGCAAACCTTAAGTCGTTTATTTAGTCTAAGAGATGGCTACGTAAATAAACGATGAAGTTGTTAGGAAGAAAGATTGGCCGAAGACACGTGAGCGAAGACAACATGTAACGAAAAACTGCGAGGTGAAGAAAGAGAAAGAAAAGGGAGATTTTGGAAAGAGGATTTTGAGGTCGGTACAGACATCAAATTGCATAATCAGTAGAAGAATTGATGATTATTGGGTGTTAGAAATAAATACAACTTTTGAAGACTTACTTAAAGTCCATCTGATTCTTCAGCGCACTCCAAATATCGCCATAATATCCCCCAACCTCCATCGGCTTCTTGTTCTCTTCTTTGGTAATTACTGTCAACAGGTGCTGGAAAACCAGAAGGAAATGTTATTTGCAAAGTCTGAGCCATGACACGAAATCACAGTCAACAACATCATAATAAGCCTGTAACTAAAAGTAAATATAGAATAAATATGGCTGTCTTCTGGGTTATTGCGCCGTGTAGTATGATAGATTTCCACCAATGTTTCAGAGGTCATACTGAATATGAATTCACGTCGACCAGACTATACAGCGCAACGACCCAGAAGACAGAAATCTTAATGATCACCGCTGTGAAAACCTCAAATCCTGCAAATAGAGAATAATTCAGACGTTATGTGCCTAGAAAAAAACACATTTAAGAATAGATTGTGACGGCCCACAACACTAAGCTAAGTCAAAACAAGTTCTTATTTATCAGATCGGAAGTTTTTATTACAGACACCGAAGAACAGCGTGTATAGAACGATAATTTCGAAACTTGTGTTATACGGGGATAAAATGTGGTCCCTTACTTTGACATGAAAATAACCAAGCGTTAAAATCGATATTTTGACATATGTAACACGAACCAGGTACTTGCGTCACACAAGAGGGTGCGTCATGGTAGAGACTATGCAGTCCGACAAGTACCCAAGGATTTGGGTAAACGAGTTGTTAGGGGCTGCATTGGAAACGACCTGGAGCCAGGAGGGAGGAAACAAGGGATGGGCACAAAGTTTTTGCGGGGAAACCTGTCTGAAAACGCCCAATTTGAAGACGACGGTATTATAGTGGGTTATAAGATTAAGATGGATCTTCCGGCGACATGTTTCAAGGGTGAAAGTTGAAGTTACCGAATTATGGCTGTGGCGTCTAATATAAATAAATTTCACGAGCTGATTGTATACTTGGACCAAATGTCTAAAGGACTCATTATAGCAGAGTTATGAATTAGACAAGCCGGAGGTTCCAGACCCTGATACCTGAACACAGGCACACATACAGGCCTAAGTAGGTTCAGGTACATACAAGAGCCTTTGGATTTAACAGTTTGTATGAATCATATGGAAAATAATGTCGTAATTATAATAATTAATGACTTAACCTTATCATTCACATGTTAACATGTTAAGGTTCTGCCCTGAAGTTTTAATGCATACCAATGGGACACTTTTCTGTTCAAAAATGTTTGAAAATAATCACACCCTTACAGAAAATAAAAAGAATTTTCTCTTTTTATTGTTTGTATTATTATTTCCTCATGCGAATTCTCCAGTTTGTTTTTAATTTTTGAAGCAGAACTGATCACTAAAATTTTTAACACTAATAGGGACTTATGAGCGTTGCTGTGGAGAAAATTTATCTCGACCAAAAGGCTACAATAGTGAGATGAGGACGTGTTAAGATTTATATACGAATATCCAGTGGTCGTTTCAACTATTTGTGATGAGGAATCCTTTTATGTGAGTGGGGATTTAAGAATTTACGTAAAGGAAAAATTAATCCTTACATTAGATATCAGTGCTTGGAAGCTAAGTCCACAAAACCGACCTCGATTGTGCCTGTCTTGAGAACAAGTCCTTGCAAGGTATTCCTCCTCCCGTAGAAAGTCTGTGTTGGCCAGGAGAATGCGCCGACAGGAGTCCAGTTGCCTAGGCGATGTGTCTGCAGGGGGAGTGAGGAGCTAACGCGATACACTTCGGATAGCATGACGTGACGGGAATCCCCCGGCTGCGCCACCAGCAGCTCGCAGTCGAAGGGGATATCCGCGTCTGCGAAGAAGTGCTCCAGGACGGAGTCTCTGTCCAGGAACAGCAACCATTTGGCGCCTGACAGGCGAACGGTTCTGGCCAACTGGACCAAGAGGTACATTGTCACAGGCCATGGTTCATAATTTTCTACCTGTCTGCACTGTTTAAAACTTCTGAATGTTTGCGGCAGAACATTCTTTCCGTGAGATTAAACTATTATTTATCACTTTAATATTGTATTGGTTATGATATTAGAAAAAATAGAATGTAATTAAAGTAATTTTCATATTTTAAGATGCAGAACAATGAAATTTATTTTATGAAAATTATTTTCTGAAGTAAACATTTTTGTCGTCCAGAATTCCACTTTAGCGCCAAGAATAATGCGAACAAGGTTTGAAACGCTGTTCTAGGCAAACTAGTGCCATTTCTTTGTAGTCCTCGGTTTGATCATGGGGAACTGTAACGGAGAAGAAAATTCTAAATTCTGTTGAAAGTAGTAGAACTGATTTTTTTATCCTGAAATTCCAAAATCATCACATAATTTAAATAAATCGTATTATAACCATATAAATATTGCCTTTATAGTTTAATAATTGCCCTAAAACTAATCTTACAGAGGCTTCAAGCCTTTTTTATTTTTAGGCTAATTTCCTTTATTCAGGAAATAAAATAGCCTTATGTTATCAGAAAGCTGTCGGTGTGTTCCCTGTCCAGATTTAGAATCACTTGACATACTTTTCACGAAATTTGGTTTGAGGATTATGCCATTTCTCACCACCCAAAACTCTTATACTTTAATATCCTACAAGCGAACTTGTGAGGTGGGTTCGACGTTGTTTCTGTTTTATACAGGATCTTAATATGTTTCGATTGAAACTGTTGCTGAGATATTTATTTTTGTACATTATAAAACGGCAACATGGTGACCATGCTAAAGGATGCTTAAGCTTACATCTTGATAGCGAACTCGAGAGCCACTACAACTCCGTTTGTGACTTTTGGTATGGAGACGTATCACACACGTCTGTATATTGTGAATTGCCACGTAACTGTAAATTATGTGTGGATTCTAAGTCGATAATTACAAACATGACGACGATGTAAGAACTGCTGTTGAGCATGAAAGTAGGTGGAACACCTCGTCTCTCTGCGAAACAGCCGGAAATAGTTAGTATACAGAGATACCTGTCGGTAATTCAGGGCATGATTCCGATGTAGATACGTGTCCTTGTAGTATCCTCGTGTCACTTTTAAAATTGTTTTCGTGGCACGCAACAATATTGAAACCGAAAAAAACTGCCCCATTCTGGGTCATGCGGTACAAATCATACGTCAGTATTGCTTTGATTACCATAAAAACCTCTTTCATAAAATAAATAGCCCATCTTTTTCAAATGAAAAACAAACAAATTTTTTTAAAGCTAGTAGTATCTAACCCGTTAAAATGTAAGGTATTTTAAAAAAATACGACCAGAAAACTTGAACAAGCTTTTTTAAAGTCGTCTAAAAATATTCTCTCTGCCTACCATAAATTCGCTTCGAGATATGTATCTCTGTTAAGGGCTTTGAGCAATAACATGCAGCCAACGTCCCTACCTTTAATACAAGCGGCACGTGTGTGTTGGTGGGTGCGTTGCTATGACAACGAATTTTGGAGCGTTTGCACGCGGCAGAAAGTTGTGACGTGTCTTTTTAAATCTGATACGTCAGGACAAACGAACACCTCTTGCGTTCTTACATTGCTGCTGCCATGTAAGTGAGGGCAGAGATAAGTATCATGAATATTTTTCTTTTTATACGAGGTGCGATCAGAAAGTTTCCAGATGTGTCAATAGATGATGATGACGAGCGTTCTGGACGACCATCTTCGAGCACAACGCCCGAAAATGTTACGAAGATTCGGCAGGCCATTCACGAAGATCGACGTCGTACCATCAACGACTTGTGCGACATTGTTGGGATAGGCTATGAGACCTGTCAGCTGATTCTAAAGGAAGAACTCCACATGCGAAACCAAGGCTCCTGTCTGAGGACCAGAAGCAGAATCGACTTCTCGTTAGTCAGGAGCTCAAAGATCTTGCAAGAACCGACCCCAACTTCCTTCCTAAGCTCCGTGTGACTTCTTCCTCGTCCCAAAGATGAAAATTCAGCTAAAGGGAAGGAGATGTGAGACGATAGAAGAGATTCAGGCAGAATCGCAGATGGTGCTTGACAGGCTGACAAAGAAAGATTTCCAGGGATGCTTCCAGGCTTGGCAGCGGCGCTGGGATCGTTGTGTTCACTCCCAGGGGAACTACTTCGAGGGTGATGGATGAATGTAATACCTGAGATAAGTGTACGGGTTGTTATACGCGCAGTCTGGAAACCTTTCGATCGCACCTCGTAACTATCAGCGTCATAATTTGGATTCTTCACAAAACACTGGGATGGATCACGCATTCCCTCAATGTATTGCGATATTTATCTCTCGCTTATTCGATACAGCCATTCTAAATTGATATAAAATCAAGGATGCTGTATTTTAAAGCGGGCAAACACGTTGCCACAGATTGTACGCTCTTTGCTAAAGAATTTCGCACCTTGCTGCCACAAATCACTCG